AGATCCTTCATAAAACAAATAAATTTTTTCGGTGAGATCATCCATTTTATTATATATTTCATTAGATTCGTTTTTTCGTTTCTCTTTTAATAATTTGAATTCCATATCGATTTGTTGTTTGAAAATATAGAAAACGAAGCATATGATGACAATGAATAGGTATATAAATAGTTTTTCTCCAAATATCAATGTTACGATGAGGATAAATATAGGATTAAAATAAAATAACTCTCTAATGGCATTTTTGAGAGAGCTTTGAAAATTCGATTGGTGTCATCTATGGAAAAATCAGTTAGTTCAATGACGTTACAAGAATACTACATCTCTAATCTGATACAAGAGTCTTAACAAACCTTTGATTCGATAAATGTAAGAATGATATTTTATTTTTTAGTGAAACTAGCTCTGCTAACATGCTTTTTTAATTGATTTAATATGTTTTATTTATGTGGTTTGATTGATTTAACAAATTTTTTATTCAAATGTTATAGTTATGAAGTAGAAAATTATACGAATTCGAATTTGAGCTGTTTTTATATGCATTTTAGAGTTTCTCCAGCGCTGATGATCAATTGTTAAGGATACATGTCATTAAAGTCATCATTAATCATTGGTTTTTTTGAATTACACGGCTGACTCATTAAAAATTTATCTAGTATAGGCAATCCGTTACCTTTGCCGATCCTAATTATTTGTGCATTTTATTTGATAGGTGAAATCGAAAACTTTGGTACATCCCATACGACGCACAGACCCTTATTCAATGTCAAAAAATAAGCTTAATCGTTTTTATACAACAACAACAATACATACCTCTTATTTATGAGTCCTTCAACTCTGGGCAGAGCTCATTAGTAAAACAAAGATGAATTAACTTATTTTCTTTCCTTAACACGAATTATAACTGGTTTATTCTATGTGATCATGGCATTGGTTCCACCGAAACTCGGGTTATCAATAATCAAAATCACGTGTGCTACAAGCTTGTTTTATTAGTATATGATTTTTATCTCGTAATACAGCAAAATAGATTATGCGACGATTATCCACATGCCAAAAATGGATCATAATATATCCACAGTACACAAGCGATTTATACATAACTCATCTATAACTCAATCCGCACTAAAAATGAATTATGAATTATCTTACTATAAAGAACAAAATCTAATAGGTCCAAATCCCTAAATTTGATATAAATCACCAATTATGTCAGGTCTTACTATTACAACTATTATTGATAAAAAAGTCAAATCGGTGAAGCTCATCAATAATCGCCCTGGATATGATATGAAATATGTAGAGTCATATATCTACAATTATTGTGGAATTAATGATTATCAATGATACTTTGATGAACTTTATGAGACTGAAAGATGATATGATACTTTATCAGTTATTCAACCCAATGAAACTCCACAACAATGGGCTATTCGGATCAGAATTCCTCTACAAGAGCTGGTTTCTGAAAAGAAAAGAAGTGTATATCATGTACATTGTTTATTTGGTGGATTTGGAAATTCTAAGCTAATTAATCATGATTACTACAGGCCTAGAATCCATAAAGCAAATGTAGTGATATGTCTAGATTGTATGAAACTTATTCATATTGATAATGTAAAACCAACAAAGAAATTTCATTATGCTAGAAGTAGATATGTCGAAATTATCAAGCCAGAAGACTTGATGCAGAAACATTGGGATTATGAGTGTTCCAAACCTAAAACTAAGGATGCTTCAGCAAGAATTATACAAAGTGCTTGAAAATAATTCCGAGGAAGAGTACCATCAAATGCGCGACTTGTATGGAATAGCTTACCAAATGATAATACTCCAGATGATGAAAAGTTTCTAGGTTTAACAAGACATAAAATAAAAAATCCTCAGACTCGAGAACAATTTAATCAGTGGCGTACTAAATGGATTGAATTATATAAAAACAATCCCATGATGCTCAGTTCCATTATTAATAGACAATATGAAGAATATTATATTCTGTATAATTGGATAGAATCTAAAAAGAGTCAATTGCGGTCTAGATTCCAACAGCGACTTTTAGAAATAGAAGCGTAAATATATTAATTAATACACATATCTATTTATTCGATTAATATATCTATTTATTATTCATATATATCTATTTTAAAATAAAATCACCTAAGGTATTTCTGAGGGCTAGTACTTTAGACTTTATTTCATTATCCCTGAGGGCTGGTAACATTTTTTACTTTGATTTTTTACATATCAACCCATTTCCATTCGACACAAAAATCCCCATATTAGAAATAATACATGGACTTGTGTCAGCTCAATAATATGAGTGGCAGATAGAATAATGATTGAATACACGGAGGAGTGCATTTTATCTGAAATATATATCTACCTCAATTTCAACACTGGCTGGATACGTGCATCTCTACAGAGTGGCGAGTAAGATATATACTATATACTATATTCTATATATAAAAAAATAATGGGAGAAATATTATTATTTGATTAAACTTGGACATCTTTTTTATATGAAATCGAAGGAAAAAAGTTACAATTGCAGAGGATAAAGATAAGTTATTCAAGCTTAGCGGAGTTAGCTTCACTAAAAAATCTCGATCATAATTTATTTTCTTTATTATGCAGTCAATAACTTGATCTCTTTTTCCAGGTTCAGAGGATTCATCCAACCGACTCTGATGGACATAGGATCGGAAATTGGTACAGTAGTGTCAAAAACTATAAACTCTCCATTCCACAAATAATTATTAATGACTCTGGAGGCTTTACGTGGATCCTCCTCTATGTATTGTCTTATAATTCTTGCAATATCTTCTGTGGATCCTCCGCCATTAAATAATACAAGATGCGTTGCATTCTCACGGATGATTTTTGGAACTTGAGTAAATTTATGTGAAATATAAATAGCAGAGATATTGTTATGTCATCCTCTATTAAAAAATGGAATGATATGATTATGAATCACTGGAGATTCAGTACACATATCCTCAAAAATAATTACTGTACAGTGCAAATCACTTAGTCCCACAACTTTTTATTGGTCATGTAGATTTTCAAATTCTCCAAAAATGGAAATGCAACACCCAAAAATAAATCGTGTATTTGAAGCCAAGACCTTCCTCTGCAAAATCACGATTTCATCTCATTGGTATGTCATGTTGTTGTGGAGAATTTGAGCTTCAAAGTTGCACAAGTTTACCGAATTTACTATGTTTTAGCCCTGAAATGGCGTGTTACACACAAAAAAGTTAATATCAAAAATAGGCGAATTGAAACAAAATAAAAATAAAATTTTTTTTTTATAATGCTGATCTTTTATCACGTGAATTTCCCAGACATGAATCAAAAAAGAATTTTACAACAAACAAAAATCGTGGAAAAAAAAAAAAATTGAATTTAAAACGAATCCAAAAATCAATAATTTTAATTAAAATAATTTCACTCTGCCAGCAAGTCTTTTTTGTTCTTTTATCAGCTTTCAAATAAGCTCAGGTTTCCTATAACATGCCAAAGGTTAAAACACGGAAAAAAATGTGTATAAATGATGCCCAAAATCATATAGAAAATGAAAATATTAGCACAGAAGAAACAATCAATGGAAATGATATGGAAGAAATTCAACCAAATGAAGAGAATACACTAGCCAACAATAACCAAATAACATCTGAATCAAAATTTCTTGAGGCTGTCAATGATAACCCTGAGAATGAAGAAAAAGAATGGAAAACAATTGAAAAAAAAAAGGATCATATAATTGCAATTGATGAAGAACATATCCCTGGGAAAAATAAACCAGAAAAGATAAGATATGTTGAAAACATCCTTGATGATACCAAAAATCTTATTGGAATCAAATGTGCTTTCAAATATGGAAAAAAACGGGTATTAGCTACATACAATAATCCAGAATCAGCAAATAAAGCATGCAACAAAAAAATTGCTGAAAATAATGATTTTCACTTCGAATTACTTCAAGACCCAAGACACTGCAATGAGTGGGCTAAAAGATCTATTCGAATAAGTGATATCCCATTAGACATAAGAAAACACGTGTTAAAAGAAATTTTAGAACAATATGGAGAAATAGAAAGACTAGCGTTACGCTTATCAGGAAGATGGTATGTTGCTATAGCAACCTACAAAAAAATTGAAGATGCAAACAAACTCATGAGTAAATGGTCTATTGATTACATGAAAGAAAACCTACGTATAACACATATGAATTCATCCAATGAGACATTAAATGAAAGAAAAGAATTTACCTTAAAACTAAGTGGATTACCTTATGGCACCACATACTATGATATCATTGATATTGTTAAAGCAGTGAAAGGGAAAAGCTGTTTTATTCCACGTACAAGGACACAATATGGAAGAGCTAGGTATGCATTTATAGCTTTTGAGAATGAAAAAGATCAAAATGAAGCAGCAACAACACATTATGCTTACAAAAACAATAAATTGAGCTGGGTGTCACCAAATGCTAAAACTTGCCATAAGTGTGGTGATACATCACATCTGGTTATTAAATGTCCAGAAAAGGAACACAGCAATACTAGAAAAGAAAATCTAACCAAATTCAACCTGTTATATAAGAAATTTAAAATCTCCAGTCCGCAAACACAAAACACCAAAAGGTCCTATGCAAGCATAGTCACAAACAACAATGAAAGCAAAAAAACTATTATTAGTAAAGAAGGAGTTAACAACTTTAATAAAAAGTTAAACAAAGATAATGATATAAATACAAAATTGGAAAACATAATTCAAAATCTTGCAGAACTCAAAAATAGGGTGGAAAAGATTGAAAATGATATTAAAAAAATTAAGGGAATGTCAGTTAAACAAATACATCAATCATTACCCAAGGAAAATCAAACATCAAACAACTCAAATGATAACATTGATAAAAAAGCCTCAAATAAAGAAAAAAATAAGGGG